AAAATCAAAAGAGAAAATACGAAACCCTGAGAGAAAGCAATGTCATTCTACTTTTTTTTTTTTTTAGTGTGACAATACCAAAATATGTTTGTCACATGAAATACTGTGTTGTAGAGAAGTGAATTGTATGTTTTCTTTAATTCCATGGTCTCAAATATCAAATAACTCCTTATCATGATTTCTTTTAAAAATACATACTGGACCTTTTGGTTTGGCCTTCACCTGACTTTTCTTTCATTTCTAGTAGGATAGAAAAAGGAGGACATATTATTAAAGTCATTTTTGATTATAAAATGCTGACAGTTTCCTTACCATCTTTTCTTCTACTATAATGTTCTCAAACCTAGATGTACTTTAGAATCATCTGGAGAACTCTTTACAAAATGAAGATTTCCATCCTCCACCTCCAATTTCTGAGTCAGTTGTTTCAAGGCAGAATATGGTCGCGTGTGCGTGCGTGTGTGTCTACGTGCGCGCTTATGTGTATTGAAACGACACGTGATTGTATTGTGCAGTCAGGCTTCAGAATTACTGTTCTAAACATTTTACAGTTAACCACTTACTGAAGATGTATAAAATGACTTAAAGTGAAAGTTTAGGTAGAGGCAGCAGGTTATGACTAGAGTGTTTGGTTATCCGTCTAAAGGCTCCCTCAAGTGCTGAGTTTTTTCTGGGTTTCCAATCACTACCTCAGAAAATGTCTCATTAATGGCTCTATTAGCAACCTTACAGAGGATAGCTAATTAGGAGGTGGTAGAGCCAGGATTGGCAAATAGATGTGTCTTTTTCCATCTTACACTGTTTCTCAGAAGTTTAGATGATCGACCCAGACTTGATTGTGCTGTGAATGCACAGGAATAAGATGGATTGTGAGGATGAGAAAGCCAATGGGCAGCTCCTGCTGCCGTCGTGAATACCTGTGTGATTAAACATAAATGAAGATAATTATCAATGGGTAGAAATATGTCTTTAATATTCTCAGCCTATGAAGACTTATTAATGTAAAAGTTATACCGTGGTTATCTAACAGTATGTGTGTGAAAGAGGTTCTTATAATTTCAGAAAAGAACTCTTGGTGTAGCAAACTGAAGTCATATTTATTGAATGTGTTAAATGTAATTCATTGAGAGTGCTGTAAAACCTGTCATCTAATAATAATTTCAAGTGAGGTGATTCCAGATGTTCAGTTAGAACTTTATCAGTTCAAGACTGTAAGTAAATTTATTAGTAAAAATAGGAAAGTACCAACCTTCTATGAATTGCAGTGATAATTACAAAACAAAATTTCCATTTACTTACCCTCTATTATAAGGCATGGCACTAGGTATAGCCTCTCTAATGCTCATGAGTTTTTTTTAAAAAAAAGATTTATTTATGCATACAAGAGTTGGGGTACCAGCCAGAGATGCGAGTGGGGGTGGTGGTGGTGGTGAAAGGTCTCACCAGAGACAGAGTGGGGAACAGAACAGGCAGACTGACCAAAATACACTGCTGATGGGAGCAGCCGGTGAGACAGGAGAGGTCTGCTGCGCCATGTGGGTTGCTCCTTGACCAGCCGGGGATTGAGCTCTTGCTGCAGAGGCTGCGATTGCTTCATAGTGCTGTGCTTAACCCCTTGCGCCACCAGGGAGACCCCTAGAGAACATTTTGTTCTATTAGAAACCTTGAAAGTTACTAGCTTTCTGGAATCATCTTAATGGAAGTCATCTGAGTCACCCAGATGACTTAAATGAGAGCTGGTTACTTTCGGCTCACTGTTTTTATATCCCCAAATGAGCTGATTTCCTTATGGTATACTCTAGCTTCTGTTTTTTTCTCCCCCAGAAGTAATCTTCATCATCTAAGGTTTCTAGGGTGAAGAAAGACCCATGTATATTCTCTTATTCCCTTTGAAATGTGGTAGTTGTTTCTTACCATCTTAATAGCTTTTTGATAACTTTAAAGATGTTTGATTCTTCTTTGCTCAGTTTCTTTCATTATCCTCATTGGAAGTGTTATCTGGTACATCATTACTATAAGTGAAATTTGCCATAATTTTTGCGTTGATTTGACTTTCAGTCTTTATTTCTTAGGTTTTATATGTATTCTTTATGTATCCAGATAATGTATGCATCCAGATAATGCTGTGCTTGGGGACCAACAACTCATAACTATAATTTTTAGTATGTGTTTTCGTCAGGCTTTCTGTGTCTTATCTTGCAACTATTTTGCAATCATAGACCATTAAAACATCCTAAGACCATTACAACATCCTAAGCTATCTAAGTCCTTTTCGATAAGTAGCTTATGCTCCTCCAGCATAAGACTTATCCGGGGGAAGTTATTAAAAATAATCTGGTCCACAGATGGTGTCACTAATATGTGGACTATAGAGAAACCAAATTAAGGGTCAGATAAAGACAAACTTAAAATCCAACCTTTGAAAGCTGACCACAGAACTGAAGCACCCAGAGGGAGGAGGGATGAGAACAAAGGAAAGCAAACACAATTGATTATGATGGTGGACTATGAATGATTTGGTAGTAGGTGCACTATGGTGGCATAACTTGATGGGATTCTCTCCTAATAGTACCTCAATTAAAAATAAATTAGTAGGGCCTCCCTGGTGGTGCAGGTGGTTGAGCACCATGCTATGAAGCTGTCTGCAACCTCTGCAGTGCTGGTTCGATCCTGGCCGGTGAGAGAAAATCCCACATGGCGAAGCAGACCTTTCCTGTCTCTCCCGCTGCTCCCCTCAGCAGTGTATTTCAGTCAATTTGCCTGTTCTGTTCCCCGCTCTGTCTCGCGTGAATCCTCTCACCCTCCCACACATCTGGCCTGTACCCCGGTTCTTGTATAAATAAATAAATGAATCTTTTTTAAAAAAATTAGTAAATTAAAAAAAAGATGTAGCCATTTACTCCATTTTTTTTCATATAAGGAAGTGTAGGATGAGAATGATTAAGTAGCCGAATTTGAAGTTGGCTTAATTTGTTGAGAAATAATTCTATTTGGTGTGATTAAATGTATAAATGTTTATCTTATGTGTCTGTCTAGGTTATAGTGTTGTAACTTGTTTGGAAATAGGGACTCAAATTTTAAGAAAATTACCCACATTATGTGTAATAATGGCCTTTGCTTAGGTATATTAACCGTGCTTTGCATTTTTTGTCCATCAGCATTGGAGGAATGACCAGAGAGCACGGGAGATAAAATAACTCTTTGGGAGACTGAGAGTATTTGGTCCAGCAAAATTCAGTCTAGTTATCAGAGAGCACTCAGTATCCACCTGAGTTTGGAGGCCATGATAAAAGTGTGAGGATATTTTTCTTTATTACTATTGACTGAGTGGAATCAGATGTGGTATAGACAAAGAATTGGATTTAAGGAAGGATTGGGTCTTTTCAGGCAAGGATGACAAAGTGAAAGAGTGGAAAGGGAGTTGAAGAAACGTATAGAGAGAGACTGACTATTTAGCATATTCTTTTAGAACTTTTAATCCGCCTCAGACATTCTTAGGGTAGTTGACATTGAAGACTGAGAGACATAGTAAAAAGTCAAACTCATGTCATGTGGAGGTTTGTTTATAGTTTACAAAGTACTTTTGCACGTGGGAGAATATGATAAAGGGCAGAAAGCACAGTGGGGTGGTAGAGTACAGGACAGGGCTGGTTTCTTTGGGGATAAAGAGGCCTCTTTTATCCCCGTGTTGATCTCCTGTGCCTTGTGAAGTCCCTGCCATGGGCCTTCTTTTTCCTTTATTCCCTCTTCTTTTTTTTTTTTCTATTATCTTTCTTTAAAAATGTCTGTACCTGTCATCTGTGGTTTAAGCTTGACCATGATATACTTTGTCCTTCTTATGTCTTTGCTTCTTTTTCCTCTTTTGGGAGGTTGGCTCTTTCTTGCGCATGGGAGAGAATGAGACTTGAGGATTGTATCTATAAACCCCAAATCATCCAACATTAGAAGTATAAATCTTTCCCCTGGATAGCCTGTGAATTTTCCAAGTTATAAGTGAGGAAACTGAAGCCTGAGGTTACTTGTGTTATTTACACGATAATGGGGAGTTGTTAAATTACCATCACATACCCCACCTCCCTTATTTTTCATTTATGACTCTTCCCCCCTATGTAAAGGGTGCTGGTTGTTAGTGGTAGGAAGTCATAGAGTCAGTTTTCTGTGCACAATGTGCCTCTTCCTGTCCACTTAGATCTAAATAATGTCCCAAAAGAGATGCATTCAAAACGTTTGTTCTCTTTGCAGCTTGTAGGTGATGCTGATTCTAATTCTGTAACTTTGTAGAGATGCCTCATACTGATGTCAGGTCACTAGGAAGCCAGAGGGGCCGCATAGTTCTAAGAATTGTTGTATGTGTCTCTTGTGTTTCTTTCTTTAGACAGGGCTAGGAAAGGGCTGGTTTTAAGGAGATCCTGCTGTCTGCTTTGGTGCTGAGCTTGAACCCTGGGCTGAGAGATGCTGTTCTTAGCACCATGTGGCCCACCCCGCCACCCTCACTGATTTGGGAGGGGAGGATGAAGCTCACAAGGAGCCTCTATGCAATAGCTGAGAGAAGCAATTCATACACGTTGGCTAAGCCACCGTCTGCTGGGGTTGGTGTCTGGAGTCTGTTGCTGTTAGGAAGTGGGTAGGGACAGACTTTGGTCATTGGAAGAAGTCCTTTCTCACCTCTACAAGTTCCTGGTGCTCTTGTTAGTACTTCTTGGCATCTCCGTGATCTTTGAATATACATGAGAAGGAGAGCACTTCATCCTTCCTCCACCCACCTCTCCCCTCAGCCAACAAGTACCATGTAAAGGGTTATTTATCAGGACCTCCTATGGGTAGATTTGGGGAATATGGATGATGAGAGGGGCAGGCCAGATTTTGTGTACTTTATAGCTGAACAGTTTGTGAATTGGGTAAACTTTGGAAAGTCTCCTAATTTCAACTTCAGGCCACAGATTATTGTTTGAACCATGCATGATGTTTTACACTGGTCTTCTTTCTCCTTTATTCTGCAGCACCCCAACCAGCATATGCCTGCATATGTGCCTACTACTGCCTTTACTGGGACATGGAAGGCTCAATCAGGATAAAGCCTCACAGGTTTGCTTCTATCTGTTTCTTGATATGTCCCTATGGGGCAGTGCTCCACGTTGGGGAGAGTGGCCTCGGGTACAAATTAATTGAGATAAGGCAGAAGTAAGAAAATTTGTGGCATGCCCATCTGGGGTTCAAAAACTAACTGCTTTTGTTTTTTTTGAAGAATAGACCACAACTTGTGGAGGAGCATGCAAATGACATAGAAACCATGTTTATATATTTGTTATCTTGCTTGTGATTTCACATACCTGAGTCAGGCCTTCCAGTGAAATTTAAGGGAGGAGACTGTTCTGAATCATAGATCCAAAGGCCAGGGTGCCATGAGCTGTTGGGAAATTCAGAACCTGTTCTCTATCCTCTAAGGACAAGATAGAGAAATGTCTGTTGCATTGCTAGTATGAGGGAAAATAGTCTCGAACATTCCAATCCATTCCTTTATGCAATCATGCTTAGAGTGGGAAGTTGAAAGCTTTAGGAAATGTGTAGTTTCCATTGAGTGTAACCTTTACTAAAAAGAAGGCCAGGTGAAGAAAAGTTTGCCCTGCCTTTTCGCTCTGTTAACTTAAAGAGTTATTGTTCTTCTTACAAATGTTGTCTCCTTAGAGTAACTTGGATTTCAGAGGAAGGGATGATGGATCAGTGTTTAGAGTAATGAGAAAATAAAGAGAGGTTTGGTGGGGGGGCGGGGCCGTGGAGGAACCATTCATGAAATCGAAGTTGCTTGTAATGCATATACACTCCTTCTATGCATGAATTATTCATTTTGCTGCCTTTGTTATAATAGCTGCAGTGTTCAGTCTCTAAGACTGTCTTGTGATATATCCTTTTGCTAAAAGGCTGCATATCAGCAGCCTCATTTGATTTAGAAGCCAATTCACCATACCACACATACCATTCGAGAAGAATGTTGGGATCCTTCCTGCTATGTAAATGTCATGCATGCTTAGAGGAACAAAGTTTGTCACAAGCAATGGTTTCAAGTGCGTTTTAATTATTCTTGAATCCTCAAAGCCACTTAATTTGAGAGTTTTCATTTTCAATGAGAAAAAAACACTTAAGTATTTCATTTGTTCTTGAATGTCAAAAATGTTGAACTGGGGATTTAGAGTATCTCAAATACGGAGTCAGGCAGTGTGTAGTTTTGAAATGATGGCAAAAGGACACAATGAAGTTTTCCACTTTGAACGTTTTCAAATGTAGAGTCCATATATTCGCATTTAGCTATAATCACATTGTGTGACAGATGTCTAGAACTTTTTCATCTATCAAAACTGAAACTATACCCGTTAAACAATTCACCTCCCCTCCTCGCAGCCCTGGCAACCACCATTCTACTTTCTGTTTCTAAGAGTTTGATTACTTTAGAGCCCTCCCATCAGAGGAATCAGGCCGGGTGACTGGTTCCTTCCCTCAGCACAGTGCCCTCACGGTTCACCTGTGTTATATAGCACATGACAGGATTTCCTTCTTTTTTGAAGGCTGACTCTTACTGCATCGTGTGTACAGACCACATTTGCTCTATCCATTCATCTGGGAAGGTCGTGTTTTGTTTTGTTTTGTTTGCCAAGTGTTCGTATGAAAACTTCCCTTGGGAGCTGAAGCAACCAAACCACAGAGAACATAGATAAATCAAATCTGAGTCATACACACTAAGAGGTAAGCTTGGTTAGTGACTTTTACTATCAGACTTTCACACTTGTAAGACTTGGAATTTCCTCAGTTGAAATCGCAAACATAAGTGGTTAGGCTCACAATCTCCCCAACAACCCGTCACCCCCTTCTCTTAGAATTACGGGGAGTCTTCAGCCTGTGCCTATGGGAAAGCGTGTCTGGGAGGCAGGACGCAGGAGCTGCGGAGCCCAGAGCCCTGTGCACCTGCCGCGTGGACTAAGGCATGTGTTAAGAGCTTGCCAGAGAGCTTGAGAACTGGCATTTTCCCCTCAAGTTGTCTGTGCTTCACTCACATGTCCAGAGGGAGGAGATAAGGGGAACGGGGCGGGGCAGAAGGGAGCTGTTGCTGTAGGGAAAAGATGGATGACCTATGAGATCATTAGCGTTAGTAATGGGTTTTCTCATTGGTCTCTGGATTTTTCTCACAGATCAACTTCTCTGCAGATTCTGGCCACAACTCAGAGTTAAAGCAGTTCTGGCTAAAGCAAAACCACGCAAGCAATGCACTCTGTGGTCTGGATGTCGTCCTAATGTGCAGAGAACTAGAATACAAAGGCTCAACTAGAAAGAACCCGTGGTGTAGGAGATTGAATCATGTAGTGTTACTTTCACTTTTTCTGGACTTTGCTTCTTCCTGTGAGCAAATGATAGGCCAGATGGAGAGGCCTGATTTGGACCAGGGACTCGGGTCCTTGTCCTTGCAGGTGCTGCCTTGTCAGCAGCTTCCTTTTTCAGCAGGTATGAGCCGTGGGAAAGCCTTTCCCCTCTCTGTCCCTTTTACTATTGTTGCAGCAACAGAGAGTGAGGGCCACCGAAGGTGGGGCCCTTCCTCTCTTTTCCCAGCATGTTGCTGGGACTTAGACTTAGACCATGTGGTCTCTGGTTTTTTGTTTTTGTTTTTTTTATTTTAAAAGGACAGGCCTATTAGGAAAAGGAGAAAGAAAAGGAAGCACCTGCATAGTCACAGGCGGGCAGGAGAGCCGCTGTTCTCTGTCCTATTGCTGAAATGTCCTTGCCCTCCCTGGCTGCAGGGGACTGCAGGTGTCCCTGGCTTTCTCTGCTGCTTCTTTGACTTTTTAGGAACAGCAGGCACTGTGCTGCTCGGTGGGGGCAAAGGGTGGGTGAGGAGAGCTTAAGGAAATGTCTAGAAGCCAACCTGAAGTGTTGGGGGAAATTTAGAATTTCGCTCTCTAGAGAGCCCAGGCCCAGGAGCACTTCGGTGGTGGAGTCTGATAAGGGGATGCCTGGGGAGCATGGAGGACAGTGACCGGTGTGTGCTTCTGCCCTGCCTCCTGCCAGAATGCCAGGGAGAAAGTGCACAGGGAGGCTCTGCCCAGTGGCAAGGAGGTCAGTTGACTGTCAGTTTTGAGTCAGGTGAGGGCCCTGAAAGATCTGTCCCCACAGGGAGGGCTCAGCTTTAAGAGACAGCTGGAAGCCAAGGTCTTTGTGCTTTGTGTATGTCAACTTGAAGGCAAGAAGTAGTTTAAAACATTCTTAGCAAGTCTGTGTGTGTGTGTGGCTTTAAAAAGTTTATACTCTCGGTTTTATCCCTAAGCATTTGTAATGAAAATTTCCAAGTCTCTAGCAAAGTTCTAAGGCAATTATAGTGAACTCACATATTCCTACCACCTAGAATACTAGCATTTTAAGATAATTGCTTTAATATCGAACCATGTAATTGTTGACGTGGCCATCTATTAACTCATATTATTTTCTTTTTTTTAAGATTTATTTATTTATACAAGCACTGGGTACAGTCAGAAGCGTGGGAGGGTGAGAGAATTCACCAGAGCCAGAGTGGGAAACAGAACAGGCAGACTGGTGAAATACACTGCTGAGGAGAGCAGCGGACATGGCAGGAGAGGTCTGCATGTCATGTGGGACCCTCGCCAGTGGCCGGGGATCGAACCGGCGCTGCAGAGGCTGTAGGCAGCTTCTCAGCCCAGCGCTCAACCGCTGCGCCACTAGGGGAGGCCCCATATTATTTTCTAATGCATCAAAAAATAACTTATCCCTAGATGCTTTTGCATTTTAAGTTCATTATTTGTTATTGTTTTTTAAGTAAAATTTACATACAATGGGTTTCATAAATCTTAAGTGTGTAGTGTTGTCTTTTCTATCTTTTTTTTTTTTTTTTTGAGGTAAGCTGATTAGTCACAGATTAAACCAGTTAAGAAGTGCAGCTTTGAAAGTGGTTGGGAACCATGGTATATGAAGAGGACATTGGAAAAGTCAGCATTTACTAGAACATGAAATGTGTTCCCTTACCACCCCTAGCCCTTCTTTTGGTTCTCTTCCACTTTCCCCTTCACCACACAAATAAGATAGAGAAAAAAAGTAGAGCCGTTGATTGGTGAAGATTTCTTTAGGGTCTGAAAGTGAAGGGCAAGCTAAAAAGCGACTTTAACCTTTTGCCATTTGTACGCTGGAACCCACTTTTCTTCCACCTTTCCTTTTCTTAAGAAATTCATGGAGAGGGCCTCCCCTGGTGGCTCAGGCAGTTGAGCGCAGTGCTGTGAAGCTGTCCGCAGCCTCTGCTAGCTGCTACCGGTTCGACCCTCCGGCCGGAGAGGGTCCCACATGGTGCGGCAGACCTCTCCTGCCTCGCCCACTGCTCCCCTCAGCAGTGTATTTCATCAGTCTGCCTGTTCTGCTCCCCACTCTGTCTCTGGTGAATCCTCTCACTCTCCTGCACATCTGGCCTGTACCCCGGTTCTTGTATAAAATAAATAAATAAATCTTAAAAAAAAAAAAGAGAGATTCACGGAGAAACAGTTGGGTTACAGGATTTCAGAACACATAGAAACCCTCCCTCGATACAGTAGTTTCAGAAATAGACAAGTCCATGGCAATTTATGATGGTGTGTGTCTATATGGAATTAAAGGACCTCGTGAAGTGGCCTATTACATTAGCATTATGAAGGGGACATTTGTTGTGCTCATTAGGGAAGTGGGGGGGGATACAGATGTTGGGTTTTATTTTTTCGTGTTTCACTGGGGTATCCTTACCTGCATTATTGGATTTAATTGTACACCTCTGCTATGCCAGGTGGCTTGAATGATGGTAGTGAAAGCCCAAACTCAGAGTAAGAATTTGTACTGAGTGTCTCTGATGCCTTTAAATGGGAGGGGGGTGGGGGATGGAAACAGAAGAGTTTTTGTTTTGCAAATATTTAGTATATGCATCCAAATGCCAGGGCCTGTTGGTGAAAAAGAGAACTCTCTAGAAGAAGTGTGCAATTTACTTAAGATGTATGTATGGGGGCCTCCCTGGTGGGTTAAAGAAACAATGCTATCAAGCTATCTGCAGCCACTGCAGCACTAGTTTGATCCCCTGCCAGGAGCTACCCACATGGTGCAGCAGACCTCTCCTGTTTCTCCCGCTGTTCCCCTCAGCAGTGTATTTCAGTAGATCTGCCTGTTCTGCTCCCCATTCTGTCTCTGGTGAATCTTCTCACCCCCCACACCTCTGGTCTACACCCCAGTTCTTGTATGCATAAATAAATAAATCTTCAAAAAAAGATGTATGTATGGGAAAGGTCAGGAAGGACCAGGAATAGGATGTATAGAGCCGGGCCAGAGAGCAGACAGTGGCTGGCAGGCACAGTGGCTAAGGAAGGTTTCTGGAGGAGCATCTGCTGTGAAGAAGTTGTTGGTTATGGATGGAGAGAGAAAGGGGAAAGAACTTGCAAGGTCCCTGTGGATTGATTACAGTAGGGATGCTTTTTCCCTTCAATTTGCAATAATTGATTGCAGATTTAGGGGAAGTCTAGGCAGATAATATTAAAATAATAACTTGGGTCAGTTGTATCAGACCTTATTATTTATGTATTTCATTAAAAAATTTATTTTGTGTATTTTTACATCATTTTTCATTTTTTGCACAATGTATGCATTTTCATCTTGGTTATAGTCCCCTATACAATTCCCACTCCCTTTGTTTTGATCCTACTCCCTTCTTCCCCCGCCGTAGTGTGTCTCTGGTTTATATTGCTTGTTGATTTTGATTTTCACTTTATTATAATTAGTATTTTTCCTGGTCCCTTATTTAGGTTTTCTAAATTCCTGTTATTTCATTTTTAAACAATATTTGCTTCCCCCCATCCCCTCAGGTGCAGTCCCCATAGAATTTCCTTCACCAGTGCACCTGTGCACCATCACCTCAGTCCCCTGTGCTCCTCCCTCCCTCCCTCTGATTCCTCTCCCTCCTCCTCCCCTGCAGGATGTCTCTGGTTTATGATTGTCTGTTCTTGCTTTGTTGTGTTTTGTACTGTTACTATTTTTTTACAGTGATGTCTTATTTGGTTCCCCTATATGTATCAGACCTTAATTGACAGATAATTTTTTTTTTTGTCTACACTCAACTGAGTGTGATGATCCAATATTATTTTAAAGATTATGGCAGGCCAACCAAAGTTGCAACCTTATGAGAATAGCATGCATCATGGAATATTAAACATCCACTGACAAACTGTATTTTTTCAGCAAAATGATTTGGGTTACAAGTAGAATTTTAGAATACATCCAACTGTCATTTGTTTTTGTCTATCTTAAGTATCTTCCCTCCCTGTTCAGGTTCTGTGTGAATTGACAGATAATTTTAAAAGGCCACCACAGTCCATAGTTTCCTGTATTCATTCCCATGCCTCACCTTCAAGTAACAAAAAATCATACCAGGCTAGGGCCTTTCATCACAAGAAAGAATGGGACCTATTTACTGTTCATTGTTGAATCAAAGAAAGAATTCGTGTGAGCTGTTTCTATGTAAGTTTATGAGAATGATGATCTCAAACAACACATGTGGAATACATTGTTAATTTGTAGGTTAAATACAGGTGTCACCTTTCAGGAGAAGAAATGCGACCATAAAGAGTTGTTGCACTCTTTTTATTAATGGGAATCTGATCACTGTTTTAACCACAAAACAAAAATAGCCCGGCAGCATTTCTTGTGTATAATTACTCATTTTCTTAAATGTTGCAAAA